CTCTCTCTCTCTCTCTCTCTCTCTCTCTCTCACACACACACACACACACACACACACACACACACACACACACACACACACACACACTAATTTAATTTAAAAAGCAAACTGGTCTTTGGGTAAGAGCAAGGAGACCCGTTTTTACTGGAACCCTTTCCTTCAGCGGGTTCTGAGAGGAGCCTCATCTCTGACCAGCCCTACCTCCTGCCATCTTCTTAGATTGGCCAGACATCTCAGTTTGTCTAGGCTTAGGCAGGTTTCCAAGAAAGTCCAGGGCAAACCAGGACAAGTTGATCACCATAGGCCTTCTCTAGAACTTTGTTCCCAGACCCCTCCAACATCCCAGTCTCCACCAGCCTTTGAGGCGTAATCCAGAGCCCCACTTCTCCTGAGCAGCGGCCCAGCCCCTTAACCCCCAGGCTGCAGGGCCATTTGCACAGCCAACCATGGATTCCTTGGACTCCAAGCTGACTGGCCATCTTATCTCCTCTACTCCTCCAACCCCGCTCGCCTCTCAGAGTGTCTGCTGTCCTCTGTGTCAAGCCATCAGGCTGTTGTTTAGTTGTTTAAGAAGTACTTGCTCGGCTCAGGCAGTGGTGGCGCACGCCTTTAATCCCAGCACTCGGGAGGCAGAGCCAGGTGGAGCTCTGTGCGTTCGAGGCCAGCCTGGGCTACAGAATGAGATCCAGGACAGCCAGGGCTGTTACACGGAGAAACCCTGTCTCAGAAAAAAACAACAACAAAGTATTTACACGTTTACTTACTCATGTACTTATTTATTGGAGACCTACTCTGTGCCAGTCTCTAGCCTACATGCTTGGAACTCAACATTGAATAAAACCATTGCCCTCAAAGAGTTTGAATTTTGCTCAAGGAAGACAGAGAAGAAATATATACTGCCCTAGATTTCTTTCTGTTGCTATGTTAAAGCACTCTGACCAAAAGCAACTTAGAAGAGGAAAGGACTTACTCGCTTATACTTTAGGTCATGGACCATCCTTGAGGAACCTCACAGCAGGAACTCAAGACGGGAACCTCAAGCAGAAACCATGAAGGAACAGCACTTGCTGGCTCATGGTTGCTCATGCTCAGCTAGCTTCTTCACACAGTCTAGACCACCTGCCCAGGGAATGTTACCGCCCACAGTGGGCTGAGCTCCCCTATATCAATTAACAATCGAGACAATCAATCCTTCACCGTGCCCACAGCCCAAACTGATAAAGACAATCACCCAATTAAAACTGTTTTCAGCTTTCTAGGCTGTGTTGACAGTTAATGCTAACTAGGACACACACATTATCATATACATCAGATAAGTCAGGCACAAGGCAGGAAACTCCTGCAGGGCCTACCAGATGAAACCATTCTATTTTTACTTCATCCCCCTCTAATCTGTTGGCAAACCACAATCACCCCGTCCCTGCAGGGTCTCCCCTTTCCAGTTTTGTGGCCCTCCTCTTGTGAAAATGATTGTCCCTTCTCATTTTATTATATTGGTCTCTTGAGTAATTTTTTTTTTTTTTTTTGCTGGTTGTCACCCCCTACTCTATCTAGTCCTACTCATGCTTGCTGTAATCTTTCTGGAGCCCAGTTATTATCATCATCAAATCGTTACCCTGCATTGTGGAGTTCTGAGGAGAAGTGTGCTTAGAAGAAGAGGAGAGAGAGCCAAGACACAGAAGTGGTTCCCACGGCTTCCCAGCGGGCCCTCTTCAGAAATAGAACTGTCAAAAGTATGTTGTCAAACATGTCACACTTCTGTTTTTTTATGCCACAATGTAAAAATTGCAAATTGTTCATCAAAATAAAAAAGGAATTAGTCACAGTTCTTTGATTGCCATTAGCAGAAGCCAAGCCCAAGCTGTCCTTGAGAAGGTATCAAATCCCTGTAAAGGGAAATGCTATCTCTTCAGGAATGATTGGTCCCGGGCACTTGTCAAGGGCAACCCCAAATCTACACCCCTCTGCTTCTCAGGCAGACTCCAGCCAGAAGGTGGCAACGTGGCCAGAAGTGACTTGAATTAACTTTCGTCAGCTCCAGCTCTCAGCGCAACTCCAGTGCACTCTGTTTCCAGCAGAAGTACCAATGCTGAGTCTCCTGACCACTCCCAACAAAGAGCTCATTCTGTAACCAACCAGCCATCCCGGGGATAGACTTGCACCTGGAGCTGGTGGGCATGAGGTCAACTTCACCTTAACTCATGGGAAGGCCAGAAGATGGGGACTTTCCTCTATTAAAACATTATGCATTTGTAACAGAACAGCTGAGACTCAATAACTATTCTAGTTTCCTTTCTGTAGCTGTGATAAAACATATTGGCCAAGGACCACTTGGGGGAGTAAAGGGTTTATTTGGTTACACTTCCAAGTTTCAGTTCATCATTCAGGGCAGTCAAGGATGGAACTCAAGCAGGAACTAGAATAGAAACCAGGGAGAAATGCTGCTTGCTGATTTGCTCACCGACTCACGCCTAGCCAGCCTTTTTCTACAGCCCAGGACAACCTGTCTGGGAAATGGTGCTGCCCGCAGTGAGCTGATCCCTCTTGCATCAATTAACTCCCAAGACAGTCCCCAACAGGTGGCCACCAACCAGCCTGACCAGACAATCCTTCAACTGAGACTCCTTTCTCAGATGATGCTAGCTGTGTCGATTGTGGGATATTGTTATACTGTGTGAATAGTATAGATGTATTGCTGTGATTGAGGTAATAAAAAGTTGAATGGCCAATAGCTAGGCAGGAGGCATAGGTGGGATTTCCAGGGAGAGAAAGGAAGAGGAGGAGGAAGTTAGGTACACAGGAGATGTGAGGAGACACAGAGAGGAAACAGGAAGTACAAGATGGAAGAGAGGTAACGCCATGTAATAGGATGTAAATTAATATAAATGGGTTACTTTAAGTTAGTTAGAAGAGCTAGTTAGGAACAAGCCTAAGCTATAGGCCAAGCTTTCATAATTAATAAGGAGTCTATGTGTCATTATTTGGAAGCTGACTGACAGGACAGAGAAAGACTCGTTATATATGTCAAGTTGACAAAACTAACCAGGGCAATAACTTTACAAAGAATTGAGGCTTACTTAGTTCACAGTTCTGGGGGTCAAAGGGCTTGCAACTAGTGACAATCTTTTTGCTGTCAGAGCCCTGAGGTGGTGCCCTGGGCATCATATAGCAGAAGACCAGGAGTTTGTATGCATATATGAGTCTTCTAGTCCCTTCTAAAGCCATCAGGTTTCAGTCATGAAGATTCAATATCTCAAAATATCTCAAAAGCCCTACTTCTAACCCTAAGTGCTACTGTAACAGTCAAGTTAAATTTCCACCTCCTTTTTAAGTATTTTTAAAATACTTTTTAAAAATATTTTTTAAAAACTGTGTGTGTGTGTGTGTGTGTGTGTGTGTGTGTGTGTGTGT